AAAAACAGCAAATTCCATCGTGTAATCAAGGACTTCATGATCCAGGGCGGAGACTTCACCAGGGGAGATGGCACAGGAGGTAACCACAGGTCCTCTGGGCCAAGGAGTATGTCAGTGTAGCCTCCACGGTGGGGAGACAAGGCGTCTTTCTTCCCCAGCTCTAGAGGCAGTCCTGCTTATTACCTACCTACTTGGAGACCAGCGGCACCCTTCTTTGGAGAGGAACCCAGTACAAAGGAGAGGGAATAATGGGGTGGACCTGATGGTAAACCTAAGAGGATCTCTCCCAGGTGGCTGTCCTGTTGATCCAGGCCTATAGCCTGGTGACCTTTCCTGATACCTCTTCAGAATGGGGATTGGGGAGAGAGGCACGTGGAAGCAAAGTGAAGACATGTGGGTACGTGATTCTAGGTCAGGCGCCCAAAGCCTGTCCAGGCTGCCCTGGAAGCCCCAGCGAGAGTGGGAGGGCCAGGCATGGTGACTCTGTAATCCCAGCACTTTGGGAGGCCAAGGTGGCTGGATCACTTGAGGCCAGGAGTTCAAGACCAGCCTGGCCAACATGTTGAAACCCCATCTCTACTAAAAATACAAAAGATTAGCCGGGCGTGGTGGCAGGCACCTATAATTCCAGTTACTGTGAAGGCTGAGGCAGGAGAATTGCTTGAACCCAGGGGGTGGAGGTTGCAGTGAGCCGAGATCGTGCCACTGCACTCCAGCCTGAGCGACAGAGCCAGACTCCATCTCAAAAAAAAAAAGAGCGGGAACAGGTGCTTTCCTTGACAGTCTTTTACCAGAGACCACTCTGAGGGCCGACCCTCACCTCGGCATTAACTTGCACAAGGAGGACAGAAAGATCCCCGGACCCCTGCGTGAGTCTCAGTGAGCTCAGGTACAGCCTGCTGCACCCTTAGAACACAGCTCACTCCTCGATGAGTGTCTGTGGGGCTCTGTGTGGGGGGGTTGAGGATGTAAAGACCTATGGGGCAGTGGTTCCCTTTTACTTCCAACAACTGAAAATGTACAAGTGGGCCATGATGCAGCATTTAGGACTTGAGCTCACAAAGGAGACCGAAGAACTGTATTTGTGGGGTCAGACGCAGTTGGGCTGGATCCAGCGTCTGCCACCTTCTTGTTTTGTGACCTCAGGCAAGTGAGTCCTTGGAGCTTCAGTTTCCTGTTCTGTACAGTGAGGGTGGAGAGAGTTGTGGGGCCATGAGGATTGGGCTAGGTCTGGAATGTGAAGTGCCTGGCATGCAGTGAGTGCTTAGTAAGTCAGCCACTGTTGAAGCGCTGACAAGCAGAGGAGTCCTCTCAGGCCAGGGAACAGGGAATGGCCTTGCGGATGTGAGGGAAGATTTCAGTGGGGTCCTGAATGAGGAGAATTTGAATGGGCAGAAAAGAGGCAGGGTTAGGGCATGAGCCCGGTTCTGTTCTGTGGCAGGAGCTTGGCCAAAGGTGGGGTGAGGGCATCTGTACCCGGAGTGCAGAGAGGTGGGTGATGGCCTGCAGCCTGGGCTTCGGCCTGCAGGGAGTCAGGGCCATGGAGCTGAGTAAGAGGATGACCCCTCGCTTGGGGTGCCAGGGGAGTCGTGTGGTGGCAGATCCAGAATGTGGAGGCCAGGGCAGGCAGGCTGCTGGGGGCACTGATGCAGCTGACCCTGGGCAGGGAGATTTGGGCCTGATCGTGAGGTGGCTGAGAGCAGAGATTCAAGAGCAGACCACCTTGGTCTGAACTCTAGCTCTGCTGCTGCTTTGTTGGGGCTCCTTTTATTCTCTGTGCCTCAGTTTCTTCATCTTTGAAGTGGAGTTAGCTCCTCCTCATACAGTGGATTGTTAAATATGTAAGATGCTTGGAACAGTCTGTGGCACACACCGTTAGCGCCCTAAGCACTCGCCTACTGCAGCGGTGGTCGCGGGAATGGAAAGAAAGAGTAAGTACATGGGAAGTGGCTAGGGACAACCTGAGCACGTGCAGAGGAAAAGGGATCAAAAGAGTAACTGAGGTCTGGAGAGAAAGATGACAAGGTATGTTGAGTTTAAATAGAAACGTCCATTTGGGTTTGGAACCCCTGTATCTTGGGAGAGTGGTTGGAGCTACGGACGGAGATTTGGGGGTTTTCTGGATAACAACTATAATCAAAATCCCACAGTTGGCTCAAATGGGGGAGGCTTTTAGCCAGCACTCCAGCCAGGACTCACTGCACATGTGGCAGAGTTCAGTCTCCCCAGCGTGGGGGTGAGAGGTGGAGCACAGGCACAAGCACCCCTGTCCCCACCAGCCAGAGTCTGGTCATTTTTGGTATTCAGTCATCTTACTTGCTGCCCAGTCAAAAATATCTTCCTGGTTGGCATCGCTCTAGGACAGTTTCCCAGCTCAGTTCCATTCTGTGGAACCACAGGATGAAGGTAGGTGCAGTGAGAAGGAAAACAGGGTTTTGCATGCAAATACGTTTGAAAAGTGTTAGATAAAACAAAATGAAAACGACCCCATTTTTGGCCGAGTTTCTTGGGGCCTAAGGCACAGTGTCAGTCTCCAAGGGGTGACAGGGAAAAAGAAGCGTTTCAGTGTTCCTTCTGGAAGCAGCTTTGGAACTAGGATCTCCGAAACGGCGCAGAGATCACCCCAGATTGCCCTTGTCATATCCCCAAGCCCCACGTGGACAGATGCATCACACACACTCACAGCTGTCTTTTATTCCTGTTCATTCCTTGTTAAGAGGCTTTGACTCTTCAGAACCCCAGGGGCAGCCCCTCTTTTCTGCCCCTCCCCACCCATCTCTGGCTGCTTTCTCCTCTGCAGCTATGCCTGTGTCTTTTATGCTCATAGGAAAACAGGCTGGTCAGCCACGGCAGTCCTTCTTTTCTGGAGAGTTCCAACCCTGCTGACGCCCCTGCATCCTGCACAGCACCTCCCTCCACCAAAGTCCCTCCGTGGCAGGCCTGGGCCACATAGCCAAGGGAAGCTGATAACATGCACTTTATTTAAAAGCCACAAAACTATCCTCTCGAAGTGATCCTTCTGTGAGCTGTCCACCACATCAGCCTGGCCTGATGCCCCACTTGGCCTCAGTCAGCGTGGCTTGGCTCTGAGTCCAGAAGATAGCAAGGGTGCAGCTTTTATGTCCTTGTACTCCACTCAAGCCCAGCCTGGCACAGAGGACAGGTTAAGCCCCATCAGTCCTGGCCCCGAATGTCTGCTTGGTTTGGCCCAATCCAGTGCCCCCGACCTGCTCTTTTTTCCCAGGAAAGAGCATCTATGGTGAGCGCTTCCCCGATGAGAACTTCAAGCTGAAGCACTACGGGCCCGGCTGGGTGAGCATGGCCAACGCAGGCAAAGACACCAACGGCTCCCAGTTCTTCATCACAACAGTCAAGACGGCCTGGCTAGATGGCAAGCATGTGGTGTTTGGCAAAGTGCTAGAGGGCATGGTGAGTTCTGGAAGCAAGGGCTACTACTGGGCTGTCCTCACTGGGGATTCAACACAGACCCCAGGGCAGGAGCTCCATGTGTCCATCCCTTTCCCAAAAGGACCTAACCCACAGATGCGGCCCAGTGCTCCTGTCCAGAATAAACCCTGTACCTCCATGCCTCCAACGTTCTACATTCTTCCAGCCCCCTCAGAGCCCAGCCAGGAAGCCTTGTTAAGGCTGCACAACTGCCGGAGCCTCCCTCCCCTCATTCACCCAGGGATGTGCTGGTCCCACTCCTGAGGTGTACAGAGTGCAGCTGAACACAATGTCCCTGAGAAGCCACATTTCCTGCTCACCCTCTTCCTCCTCCTTGCCCTTGGCCAAACCTGGGTCTTCAAAGGAATACAATTCCTGCATCCCCTTGTCAAATCTGCATTCTCTCTGCTCTGGCCAGGAGTCCATTAGAATTTTGGTGCCTCCAGTTTTGTGTGCTGTTGATGACTTGTGGGTCTCAGCCCTCCTGAGTCATATGCTGGGGTCTTTCTCCTGAGCGGTGGACCTCCTGACCCACCGTGCCCTCCTCCTTCCACCTTTCTTTTCCAGGAGGTGGTGCGGAAGGTGGAGAGCACCAAGACAGACAGCCGGGATAAACCCCTGAAGGATGTGATCATCGCAGACTGCGGCAAGATTGAGGTGGAGAAGCCCTTTGCCATCGCCAAGGAGTAGGACCCAGGGACCTCTTTCTTTGAGTGACCGTCTGTGCAGGCCCTGTAGTCTGCCACAGGGCCCTGAGCTGCACTGGCCCCAGTGCTGGCATCTGGTGGAGCGGACCCATTCCCCTCACATTCCACAGGCCCATGGACTCAGTTTTGTAACAGACTCCTACCAACACTGACGAATAAAAAAAAATGTGGGTTTTTTTTTTATATATATATAATGTGTGGGCCTGGTTCTTGAGCCTGCAGCGCTTCCCCTAGGCCTACATCCCAACATGCCTGCGACTCTGCTGTGCCTGCCCCTTCCCTGGGATCCTGCCTGAAACTTTGACCCAGGAGCTACCCAGGAAAAGTCAGGCAGGAGCTTTTGCCCCCTGCTTCTAAACTTTGCCAGCTACCGGGCCTCCACGTTTGCTCCCCTTGCCACCACCCTCCAGTCTATGTTAAGGAATATACCTGTACTTTTTCATAGCCTACCTCTAAATTGACTTTTTTTTTTTTTTCATAGAGACAGGTCTCACTATGTTGTGCAGGCTTGTCTGAAACTTCCCGACTCAAGCATCCTCCTGCCTTGGCCTCCCAAAGTGTTGGGATTACAGGCATGAGCCTCTGTACCCAGCTGACTTCTTCCTTTATTATTTATTTATTTATTTTTTGAGACGGAGTTTCGCTCTTGTCGTCCAGGCTGGAGTGCAGTGGCGCAATCTCGGCTCACCACGACTTCTGCCTGCCGGGTTCAAGCGATTCTCCTGCCTCAGCCTCCTGAGTAGCTGGGATTATAGGCATGCACCACCACAATGCCTGGCTAATCTTGTATTTTTAGTAGAGACGGGGTTTCTCCATGGTGGTCAGGCTGGTCTCGAACTCCTGACCTCAGGTGATCCACCCACCTTGGCCCCCAAAGTGCTGGGATTACCGGCGTGAGCCACCGCGCCTGGCTGACTTCTTCCTTTATTACTTACCTTCTTGACCCTGCCTTGGTTCTTGGGCTCTAAGAGCATGCAGATTCTACTACCTCCAGCTACCAATGCAAGCCAAGTTCTGAGCCTTGAGTGGGAATGTAGCACAACTGGACACTGGGTAGTTAAGTCCTGGGTCCAGGCCAAGGGAGGACCTAGCCTTATATGGAGTTCATAGGACAGAGGCACATGACTTTCTTAGGCGGCAGCCAAAGGCCTCTGGACTGATCAGGGCATCGGTGGCAGAGGAGCAGGGTGACAGGCCGCCTTTGGCTGGGCTTTATCTGGGCTGATGCTGAAGCTGTAGAGGCCCTGGAGCACACCATTCACCACCACATTGGGCAGCAGCTCTGTGGGATAGAATTAAACAGGTCTGGCCTCAGGCCTGCAGCTCCTTGAGCTCCTGCTCATGGGCTCAGCCCCCACTTGGGTGTAGGAGCCCTTGCCAAGGTAGCAGACAGCAGCTGTCCACCCCAAATGAAGCCTCAGCATTCCCAGGTCACATTCTGTTCATATCAGCTTGGTAAAGAAGTCAGGTTGCTGAGGAAATGGACACCAGGGAAGCCAAACTTGTTTTCCTTGTGTCTACAAAGCAGGCTCCAGGGAACAGGAGCAGGAGGTAGTGGTTCCAGAGGTGGGCAGCAGGAAGGTGATGCTGCCTGACGGTCCCAGGAGCTGAGAAATGCCAAGCCCAATACCCTACCCCTGTAGCCCGGTATCTAGGCACCTCCTCACCTGGGGAGGGGGTGCAAACATAGGGATCCATATGGAAGCTCAGGACAGGCCGCTGGTGCTGCTGGGAGCTGGGAGGAAAGAGGGTCATAAACCATGGGTGCAGGAGGCAGGGCAGAATCCCACAGAGGGGTGGAGACGGGGCTGAGATCACCAGGGACCCATGAAGGAAAACATGAGTGGGAAATGGGCTCAGGAGGCACCAAAGGGAAAACAGACTTCAGGGCCCAGGCCAGACAGGCCCAGGGAGCAGGCCCGCCTCCTAGCATATGGCCACTAGGGGGCGGCAGGGGCCAGGCGCGGGCTAGGGCTTTGACTTGCCTGCTCTCGCCAGGCAGGAACTCCCCCAGGGCGCTGAAGAGAAGAGAAACACTGTAAGCTGCCTGGGGATGCCAGGGGAGCGTGAGGAAGGGGTGGAGACACCAGAGCCCAGAACTGCGCCTCCCAGGGGACCACTGCTTCTATTTGTAACAAGCCCCAGTTCCGGAGGTGGCTGGGGTAACCAAGGCTGTCCAAAGAAAAGCCTCTCCACCCAGGTCAAGAAGGCTGGTGACGGTGGTCATGTCAAGCTGGATCCCGGCAGATGTGAGACGAAAGGGCTTGCCCTCCAACACCTTTCCTCACCTGTTCACTGCCGACAGCCCCTGGCCCCCGCCACCGGCCCCCCTTACCCCCAGTTGCTAGCCTTGGGATCTGTGGGGAAGTGCCGAAGTCTCAGGAATTCCAGTAACTCCTTGGGCACCTCCTGGTTCAGGTACAGGATGCCCTGGAGAGGACAGAGGAGACTTGCAATCGGACCCAGCTACTAATTTGCATAGCACAGTGCCAATGAAAACGCAGGGCTCTTTGTTCCAAAAAAAGAATTTCAAGACAATGACAGCAGAGCATTGAACCAGGCTCAGGGCCCTTCTGAGCGCTGGGCCCTGTGTGCACAGGTTGTACCCCATGATGTGGCATAACTTCGCTGTTGGGGGAAGGACCCTCACCCTACATCCCATCAGGAGGGCAGCACAGGACCTCACTCTGGAGGGGACAGGACCTGGCTTTCATGGAGCTGGGACTACCTGTGTCCATTACCTCATTCAGTCCTTTCAACAGTCCAGAGGTGGGTGTTTGGACTTATATTACTCTTCAGAAGATTGATGCTTGAGGTGGTGAATAACAACCCCAAGTCGTGGGTTCACTCCCTGCCATGCCCTCACACCTCTCTGTCTGGGCCACACCCCTGGCACAGCAGGCTGGGGGGCAACCAAGTGTGCCCTCGCATACCTGGATGTAGGCCTCCAAGCCCTGCCGGCGCTGTTCCAACCCTCTGGTCCTCCAGTTGGGCAGGCGTTTCGAGGGGAAGTCGGGCACTTTGTACAGCTTCTTGATCTACTGGAGGTTTACCGCGTGCAATCACAGCATCCCGACTGAGCCCTCAAGCCCTCTTCGCCCGAGCCGGAAACCCTCCCGCGCCCCCGCCTTCGGACTGTACCCTGGGACAGACCCTGGTGAGTGGTGGATAGGCGGAGGGCGAGGAAGGCTCCAACCCACCCACAGACGCCCGGGGGCTGACCGGCCTCGCAGGGACTGAGGCAGTAATAGGGGTGGCGGAGGCTGGGGCTGGAGCTCGCCCGCCGGCCTCACAGGGCCTGGGCAGGGGCTGGACGGAGGCTGGGCCGGGGCCGGGGCCGGGGCCGGGGCCGGGGCCGGTGGGAGGTCGGCGCCGCCTCACCCGCTTGTGCAGCGCGTGGAACTCGCTGTAGCGCCTCGGCACCGTGTGTCTGCGCCCGCTGCACAGCACCTCCACTTGGAACACCTGGCGGCGCGGGCGGGCAGCGGGGGTACGCGTGAGGCCCCGCGGGAGGACACAGCAGAACCTGCGCCCGGCGACGCGCCCACCCTCCCGCGCTCAAAGGCACAAAGCGGCCTTGCGGCACCGCGGCTCCTCGGGGACGCTTCGCTCCCGCACACCTGGAAGAACGGGCTGGCGGACCCTCCCCTCGGCGCCCTGGGGTCCCTCAAGAGCTCGAACCACGGCCCGCGAGGCTGGCAAATCCAAGCGGCCCCCAAACCCTCGACAAGGTTTCCCCCGACGGTCCAGCCCGCAGCGTTTGTTCACCTGGGCCCGGGCTCCGGGTCCCCACTGAGTGCAGCGCGGGCAAATCCTGCGGGTACCGGCGCCCCTCCCCATCCAGGGGCCGCGCTCACCATGTGGCCTTTCTCCGGGCTCTGCCTGGGCCCCTCGGCCTCAGGCCCCACCGACGGGATGTGAACTTCCAGCATCCGCGCCCCGGCCCCGGCCGCTCCGCGCGCTCGGCTCGGAGCCCTAACTCTCCGGGAGCTGACGGAGGACCCCGGCGCGGCCGGCCCCGCCCCCTCGGCCCGCAGGCCCCACCCCAGGCCCCGCCCCCAGGCGACCCCGCCCCGGGCGTTCCCTTGCGCGGCGGGTCCTGAGCCTAGAAGATTAAGCGGGACCCGGACGCCGCCCCCGAGGTCTAGTGCGCCCGCAGCGCAGGGCAGTGGAGTCACCCGTTTGTCAAACATTGACGGAGCCCTCACTGATGCCAGGAACTGGGGAGCAAAAATGTCACCCATCCTGAGTTAAGCGCCTGCTATGAACTAAGGACCGGCCTGTGGCTCCTGGCGTGGCCGGAGGCGGGACCCGGGCCTCAGCGCCGGTCCTGGGGCCAACCAGGGACCTGTATTGTGTTCCTCAGTCCCTTCCCAAGCCTTTCCTTCCTTTAAGCCTGCTCCCTGGGATTGTGATATGGAGTCCCCGGCTGAGGCCACACCTGAGCAAGGCTTGAACCCAATCCAGCTTTGATGCCCCCTTCTCCAGCATCCACAGCACACCCCACGCCCCCCAACACACACATTCATTCATTGTTTTCATCCATCCATTCACTCCTATTTTCCAACCCTAAGGGTCTCCAGGCTGTTTGTGGGGAAGAGGCAGTTTAGGGACCTAAGCTCCGATTTGGGGGTCAGAAAGCCTGGATTTCAGGAGCTCTGTAGACCTTTGCTCATCTGCAAAATAGGGATAACGTGACTCCTTCAGGCGAGTGTATAAAGTGAGATGATTTGGCGGGGCACGGTGGCTCACGCCTGTAATGCCAGCACTTTGGGAGGCCAAGGCAGGCGGATCACCTGAGGTCAGGAGTTCGAGACCAACCTGACCAACATGGTGAAACCCTGTCTCTACTAAAAATACAAAAATCAGCCGGGTGTGGTGGCACATGCCTGTAATCCCAGCTACTCAGGAGGCTGAGGCGGGAGAATCGCTTGAACCTGAGAGGCAGAGGCTGCAGTGAGACGAGATCAAGCCATTGCACTCCAGACTGGGCGACAGCAAGACTCTGTCTAAAAAAAAGTGAGATGATTTGTGTTAGGCCCTTAACAGAAGCATTGAGTAGCAGCTTGACTGTGGGCTTGTCCTGGATGACTAGGATTAGTGGGCACAGGGCAGTGGATGGGAAGAGGACTCTGGGGGTTGGCACCGGGTTGCTCTTGTCCACCCCTCTGGGCAGGTTCTTCCTGGATATGTGACAGGATTTTGATCCAGAACTCTTTTCAGGCCATGTGCTGGAAAGGGCCTCTGTTCCCACCTCTCAGCCCTGCGCCCTCCAGCTGTCCGGAGAGTTATCATCAGCAGCAGCATGGCAGGTCTTCTACTCCACTGACTTCCCCTACAAAGGCCCGGTGACATGCGAAGAGGGGAGGCCCTGCCTTCCAAAGCTCATACGTAGTGGGAGGTCTTGCGGTGGGCAGGAGGAAGCAGAGTGCCTGTCTTCGGGGCTGGGGTTGAGGGGACTCACCCCTCCCCTGCTCCTGCAGAGATGCCTCTGAGCTGGAGCAAAAACCTCCATCCCCAGCCCTGTCCCCAGAAAAGGGCTGAGATGACGACCCCAAAATGGGGCAAACAGATCTCACCAATACCATGTACCACACTCTCTTTTTCCAAATTGCATCACACAAGGACCACAGAATCAGGAAGCTGAAACTTCCCAGATTCTAGTGGGGTCCTCTAGAAGAAAAGCAGCCCAGAGTGAGGAGAAGTGCTATGCTTTCATTTCCTCCCTAGGGCCCCATCATTCAGGGACCCAGCTTTCCCTGGCCTACAGGGCCTCCCCAACTGCCGCTGTCCAGAGAGGCCTCTCCTGGGATCCTCAGATTTCTTGGTCCCCATCCTAATGACTGTCTGCCCCTCTGTCTCTGGGTCTCCATTTTTTCCTGCCTTCATCCCCAATAGAACGTCCATTCTCTACCCTACAGCACAAACTGTTATCAAGGCATGTGCTTAAAACCTTCCAATGTTTCCCACTGCACTTAGAATAAAACCCACTCTCCCTATGCAATCCACAAAGCTGTAAACCACCCAGCCCAGTCTCCATCTTCCACCTCATTCCTCTCCTCTCCCCATCATGCACCAGGCTCTTCCAACCTGACAAGCTCTTTCCTGCCTCAGGGCCTTTGCATTAGGCTGTTTGCTCCACCTGGGGACACTCTTCCTTGACTCTTCAAGGATTGGACTCATCCTCCAATTCTTAGCCTAAAACTCAACTCAAAAAGACTTTTTTTTTTTTTTTCAGACAGGGCCTCACTCCAGTCGCCCAGGCTGGAGTGCAGTGATACAATCAAGGGGCTCACTGCAGCTTAGGTGATTTTCCCACCTCAGCCTCCTGAGTAACTGGGACTACAGGTGCGCACCACCACACCCAGCTAATTTTTGTAGAGATGGAGTTTGGCCATGTTGGCCAGGCTGGTCTCGAACTCCTGGGCTAAAGCTATCCACCCACCTTGACCTCCAGAAGTGTTGGGATAACAGGCGTGAGCCACCGCACCTGACCAAGGCTTCCTTCTTGACTCCTATCATATGACCCTTTCTATGCACTTATTACAGTCTGCAATTACTGTTTAGTTACTGTGTGTCTCAAAAACATTTGGGTTGAAAGACTATGTGAGTATTTGTGACTGAAAGACTGTATGAATGAATGGGCAGCAGGGGTATGTTGAGAAAAAACTAGGGAGGGGAAGGAGCAGGGGCTGCTGAAGGGTTAAAGGCTGCCTGCAAGATGGGACAACAAGAATCTTTTTCCCACCTCCAGAGTTAAACACACCTCTCCTCTCTTCTCCCTTGGCAGATCGTTGTCTACTTTATCCATTCACTTAATTTTCAGGTGTTCCAGGAAGCCTCAGATCAGTGGATTTTCATCACCAGTTGTGGAAAGAGATTCCATGCAGCTGACTTGTCAAACATGTGACAGTGAACCTGCAGCTCCTAATTGCACAGTGTTCCACGGCACAAGAGTGCAGGTACAAACGAAGAAAAACAAGATCCTTGACACGGAGGCATTTCAGATGTCTTTGGGGAGATAAAACAAGGTCTGGAGAATGTTTTCCAATTTTTAAAAATCAATGATGTATTCATTTATTGAGACAAGGTCTCACTCTTTTTTTGAGGCTGGAGTGCAGTGGCACAATCGTGGCTCACTACAGTCTTGACATGCCAGGCTCAAGCGCTCAGCCTCCCGAGTAGCTGGGACTACAGGTATGCACTATTAAGCCTGGCTAATTTTTGTTTTGTTTTGTTTTGTTTTGTAGAGACAGGGTCTCACAATGCTGTCCAAGCTAGTCTCCAAGTCCTGGGCTCAACTGATCCTCCTGCCTGGGCCTCCCAAAGTGCTGGGATTATAGGTGTGAGCCACCGTGCCCGGCCAAATATTTTCCTATAAAGAGGAACACATGACATGATGTAAATACCATAGCAGTTATTACAATCAAAGAAAGTTTGCTTTCTGTACACTTTCGGCGCTGGCCAGCTCATCATATGAACAGCATATTCCAGAGTCTATGTGACGGGTGTGCAGACCTCAAAGTAACTTCTGTTTTTAGAATGAGCTGTTTTACGATACAAGCTTTTGTCTTTTCTCCACCACGATCTAGCACGTGGATTGTATTTCCATATTAGATTATAGTAGTTATCAGACTTTAGCAATCTTCACCACCTGTAGGGCTATGACATCTCAGATTTGAGTGCCCTGGCCCCGGATTTTCTAATTCCTGGGCTGGGGTGGAGCCTGAAGCGGTCATCTTCAACAAGCTCCCTGGTGGCGCTGAAGCTCCTGGTTGGAGATCACACTAAGCAAGCACCGGTCTCCTGATGGCTGCAGCAGCCCCGCCGGGGGCCGGGATCCACTCACTCCTCTATGCAGGCATGGAGCTGGCAGTTTACCACTTGGAAATAGAACCAAGGCCTGAGCAGAGGGCAGGAAGGGCTGGGGAGTGAAGATGTCCCCCGACTCGCCCCATTCCTGCACACGGGTAGGCTGGCCCACAGCCCCTGCCTTAGCTCAGGCCCTGGCTCCCACTGCAGTCACACAAAGCCCCCTTTCACCCGCAAGGCTTCTGCTGCGCCACAGAGGCTGCTCAGGAGGTTTGGTTAACCTCGTTAGGAAAACAAACAGCCCCTGGACCACGAGCTTGTGGGCGCCACGGGGTACAGAGGCGGGATTCTTCTCTGGGCCCGGGCTAGGCGGGTGGCAGCGGAGAGGTGGACTGGCCAGGAGGGGCCCAGCCACTGGGGGCTGTCTGAGCCACGGTGGACCTTGCCTGCTCCACCCCAGCCCAGCTCAGGTCACCAGTATCACCTTGGACAAACCCCCCTGAGGCGCAGGGTTCTTATCTGTCCTTATCCAGGGTCCTCACACAAGAGTGGTGTGTGGATTAAATGACAGCAGCTTCCACAGCGTTTGGCATGGGGCCCAGCACACAGCAGAGAGATGTTAGCTATTATTTACTGAATTATGTGAATTTGCTGTTTTCGTAGGCAAAAAACGGCAGGGTCTTACCAATGACATGGTTCATCCTGATGGATACTGACTCACTGACAACAAAAGCAGATTCTCCTATTTCTTCCGTACCCTGAGACGGCAAGGTCAGCGTAAAAAAAAAATTAACAATTTCAACTACTAACACTGCAATAAGGATTTTTCTGATTTCCTCCATATTGTGCAACCAAAAATAGTAAAGAAAAAATTGGAAGCAGAGGTTGATATAAATCACCAACTATGCTGTTCATCAGAACAGCCTCAGAGTTCCTACTGATTACCTTGTTAATAAGTACATTTTATAAATTGAAATTAAGGGAGGACATCACCCCTCATATTGTCTTATGCCCAATTTCTGCCTCCAAAGAAAGAAGAAGTAAAAACTAAAAGGCAGAAATGAAATCCACAGGCAGACAGCCCGGCGCCGCACCCTGGGCCTGGCAGTTAAAGATCGACCCCTGACCTAATCGGTTCCGTTATCTATAGATT